GGTCTGCCTCGCCATGTGGTCACCTCCGGGGCAGGCAGGATCGAACTCATGCGGAAGTGGCTTTAGCTTCTCAGTGCTGTGCTTTAACCCGCTGCTCCACCAGGGAGGGCCATATTTATCTTTTTTTTTAAGTAACATTGGTTTACATCATTGTGTATTAGAACTATACAAACTCCCCTCAGATATTGTTACCACCCACACAATCCTACCCCCAGCATCGTGTCTTGAGTTTTAAATGCAGAATTCAAACAACCAAGCAACTATTTCCTTCTTTTGCAGTATATAAGGAAGAGCTGCCTTCCAACAAGTAGGGACATAAGAGTCATGATCTGAATGTGATGAGGGAATACAAGGTTGAGAGATGAGAAACAATATGAAATTTTTTTTGTAGATATAAAATATATTTATCTTTCCTCTTCATCCAAATCTGGGTAATTAATATAACCCCTATTCAACATTTGGTTGTGTCTCAATAAATGCTTGTTGAGTCATTGGGCTTTTTTCCTAAGATATCACCCAGGTCTCCCGACCTCAGTATCTGCCTATGACTAATATTTAAGAGGCTGCTAACAGATCAAGTCACCTCCGGCTACCTTTAGAGGGACAGCTGATCTGACGTGAACTTTCATCTGAAAGAGTTTTGGGCAGCTGCTTCTTGTGGGAGAACTAGAAACACTGAAATTAGAGATTGTTTCTACTAACACAAAGTAGATGTTTAAAGTAATTTGAATGATGACTACATCTCAGTTCTATGACATAATGAAGACTTCAAACATACAAGTAGGATTTTCCTTTTTAAGAGGCCACATTTCAAATGCATATTTTCTTGTGTACATGTAAAAAATCTACCTATTCAAAATCACTGGAACATATTTTGATCACTTACTACATAAAATTGAATAATTAGAAGTAGTTATTTATATGAAACTAAAAGCAAATTTGCCAATAGCTGGAATCTATCTTTAAAATTATTTGATAAATTCAATCTAAAATTCAAAAATAAATATGATAAATATTTTCATAATTGCTCAGAAAAAAAAGCAAATGAAAAAAGGTGATTCTTTAGTCCCCAAAAAGAAATGTATCTCAAATAACTGTGATGTCCCTCAGTTGGTATAATACTAACATTTTTACATTTTCTGATTCAGTAGTACACATGCAAGTAACTGTATTTGTTTTATAAATTATAATGAAATATTTAAGACATGTAAAATATAAAATTAAGATGATAATATCTATTAAAGTGCCATAGAGTATAAAGTTAAAGCCCCCCCATTTTCTTCTGAAAAGGTGGAAGGACCAATGTAAAAAATGAGATCATATGGACCCTACCTGGTGGCGCAGCGGGTTAAAGCACAGCACTAAGAAGCTAAAGCCACTTCCACATGAGTTCGATTTCCGCCTGCCCCGGAGGTGACCACATGGTGTGGCAGACCTCTCCTGACCCGCCCGCTGCTCCCCTCAGCAGT